GCAAGCCCGCCGGACGCTCCTTCGTCGAATCCGCCGGCCGCGCCGTTCTCAAGGCCGCCCGCCGCCGCTCACTCTAGCCGCCGTGTGTGACGCTGTGGCCTTCCAAAAGTGGACAGGACTAGAAATCAGTGGTTAAGTTGTATTTACAACACTGTTCCAGAACACTTCAACCCAAATATTCAGATGTGTGCAGCACATTTGATGGAGGACCGTTTCCTGATCCTGGGAGAGTAGACTACAATGCCATCTGTTCTGACTCACAGCCTGTAAGTACGTTTTCATATTTAAAGAATTTGCCACTGATGATTCAAACACGAGTTTTGAGCAGTGTAGAGTAGCACTTGTTGTTTGTCATTTCTCCGATCACAAATGCAGACATGGTTTTATGTTTACGCGGCGCGATGCAACGCAAGGCGTAAAAAAGACAGTATAAGTCATTATAATCCGTAATTATGTCCCCACTGGATGCAACGAATGCCTCGTTTATAATGGGTTTTCATGTTTTTGAATCGTCGTTCCGGCCTGACAGGGCATCATCACAGTATGGTGAGAGGGGTAACATTTCTGTCACATGCTTGAGGTATTCGGCCAATCATAATCATCACTGGATAGCTGGCCAATCAGAGCACACCTCGCTTTTCAGACCGATGAGCTTTGTAAAAATCGACGCGTTTCAGAAAGGCGGGGCATAGAGGAGAAACAATAATGTACAGTATGTGGAATATAATGTGTTTTTTTAACCTTAAACCGCATAAACACATTTCATTACACCAAATACACCAAATAATGTTCTTTTTAGCAGCATCATATGACCCCTTTAATACATAAAAAGGCATTTAAACCACCTTTACAGTTACATATCACTTGTTAGTTATTTCCCCTGTTTGCACAGACATAACAACAAAACACCAAAATCAGAACGAATCAGTGCACTCATTCACCATGTATCAGAGTACAGATCATGCAAACATGACATCTGCCACCACCCAGAAACAACTCAGAGAAACACCCAGAGTACATAGGGAAGATGCTTGGGACGTGCTATTTAGGGTACTGTCACTTCTAACTAAACGTCCCGTGACACTTGGGTCAACTTTTTCCATTGCCACCATGTCAGGAGTCATGAAAGCTTGGGAATTTTTTTTGGGAGCAGCACAAAAAGTTTGCATGGAAACTTAGGGCCACTGGAGGCTTTTCTAAGGGCCCTCGGTTCCAGAGGAGGAAGTGATCAAGGCGAAAACAAGTCTGCAAGTCTGACTTTCACAGAAAAGGATGAATTTCCTGATATCACGACCGTTTATCACGCACTCAAGTTGAGGGCCAGGTTGCATATCTGATGATGCTTTCACAAAATTCATTCAAGGAGAATAAAACAATGAGATTGTGGACAGAGAGGAAGGCAGTTCAAATAAGGTCAGGCATACGCCACCACACTGTATATATACTTTATATATATATTTTTTTTTTTCAGTATTTGTGAAATGATGCTATATTGCCTTAAAAGAACAATATAGAGTTAAAAGAAGCTCAGATGTGCTGTTAATGAAACAAAGCCTTCTTTTACATACTGTAGAAATTATTTCATGTCTTTTGAATGTGGCAGATCTGACTATTTGTACAGTGCACAGAGTAGTTTGGCCGTTCTAGTAAATCAGTCGCTTTGGAAGGTAATCTGTTGACCACATCTAATCTTTCTCTCATCCAGCACCACAAACAGAACGTCAAACAATCTGCAAACAGAAAATAAATGACGTCTTACACATTAGACTGTACGACAATGCTGAACGTATTACAAAACTTTTTGTACAAATACCTATTGTGAGTTTAATGCATTCCCTAATTTAATAAAACTTTTTCCAGTAATGTTAACTGCATATTAACATTTATTTCTTTTGTAAGGTTAG